CAACCCCTGTCTTGCTGTTTTCTGAAACAAAGAAGGCGCTAGATCAGATCAGATCCTGCTTTTCAGCCTGGTGAGATGTACATCTATTGTAAACACTTCGTAAACAGCTTGCTCGCACCTCCTTATTTATCGTTTGGCACTTTATGTGCTCATTTTTTCTGGATTTAAGTCCCTTCCTGGTTTGTTTAATTCCTCTCGCATTTGAAGGTAGCCGTTTTTGCTGTATTTTTGGAATCTGAGCAGTTTCTTACTTTCCTGCACCTTGCTGCCGTATGATGCTTCCCGCGTTTTGCTTCATCGGACGTCCTAATCATTGTGACACTTGTTACCGGATTATTTATTCACTTTGAACACCACATTTTTTGTTTTGAGAGGTATCTAGATGAAAGGGCACTGGTTTCCGGCCAGTCGATGAGAGCCGTTGCGAGCATCAGTAGCAAAGTGAATTGCGCAAAACTCAGCAGCAAAGGCTTACAGAGAAATTCAGTTTTAAACGCTTCAATCGGGAGTGTGAAGCAGCCAAAGACTCGTTTGAAGCATCCAAAGAATCCCTACTCTCTGGCTTTTAAAATGGCATCTCTTACACACAGTAACATTTTTTTCTACTTTCCGAAGCCGCTTTGCTCACCATTCTACTCTTTCTCCCACGATTCTGGGGTACTCTTTAACCAGTTTTCGCAGTGAAATAATAATCAAGTCCTGAAGTTCACTTCTGCAGGTCTTTAGTTTTCACTTTGTTAAAATTCCCCCTTTTCTTTCGGCGTGTCCCACTAGTTCTTTGGCTGTTCCGGCCCAATGCCTCGTTCTTCACGAACATGGAAAGAAATTGGGCTGTTTATTTCAAGACTAGAACTTGTTTCTAAGATTTCTGCGATCTAGTACATTGGTAGAAACCGCGCTTCAGTAGGTTAAGTACCGTGCACTTCTAACATACCACTCCTTATAAAAAAACCAATGGACAAGGTGGTACAATTGCACTTGTTTCAAAGGACTACTATTCACTTAGATCACAAACTCTTTTATCCCTTCCATACTGCAGTTCCTTAGTAGAGGGACTTTTTTCTTAGCAGTTATGACCAGACCACCTTTTGCTGAATAAAACAGTAGCATCTGGACGCAAAAAATAATTTTGGTATTTAGGTATTTTTTTGAAGTCCCACTGTGTCTCGAAAGTCGTCGTTATTTGACCTCTTTTATCCTCTTGTGCTTTAACCTTTTCTGCGGCCCTTTTCAGTCTGACCATAGGTTTTGCTAAATGTCTTTTTTGCTGCTTAATGGTACGACAGCGACAACCTTTTCCGCATTATGTACTTCTTTGATTCTTGCGCTTCGTAAATGGCTCCGCCGAGTTTCTGTTTGGTTAGTGTTTGTGAAATGAGTAAATTAACAGATCCTGAAAGGTTCGCGTTTGACGCGTCTACTGTAAATTTAACAGGCCCAGAGCTTCAAGCACTGCCATTATTAACAAAATCACCGCATATTGCAAAAACACCATGTTTTAGATAAAACCCCGTTTTTGTTGTGGCCCACAGTCGTTTTACGTAATGCTGCAAGACCTGGTTTTTGCTTCTTCACATCGCATTCCAATAAAGCTTAACAGATGTTTTGCTGAAAACCTCAGAATAAGTAGGTGTTGAACGTTTATCTACAGGAACATATTGGAAGTTAAATAGCTCCGTTCTTTCAAGCGCTTTTGCTGTTCGCTTACTACCACGTGCTCTGATAGATTAGTACTTCTCGCATGTTCCAGGCAGAGAAAGTTTAGAAGTAGGTGTTGGCAATATCAGAAGAACCGTGTCATCATTGTGTAATAACTGGGTCTTCAGTAAAACTTGAATTTCATCAAAATAGAAAATGAACCGAAATTGCGATTAAAAATCGGAAGGTTTTTTACGTACTAGACATCTTTATGCTATATTTCGATAATGCTGAGGCTTCATCCGCTTTTATAAAGAACTTCGAAAGAATTATCGGTCACTTTGACTCCAGCGACTTTTCGAAATCCTTTTTTTTCTAGATTAAGGAAATGTAACAAAAATTTGCGATAATTTTCGTTTTCTTCACCAGTCCACAGCCTAAAAAACAGTCAAGTTTAAAAATAACGATACAAAAATGTCTTCTTGAAACGAGGAAAAAAACAGGTGACTGTAACCGTGAGGCGCAAAGGCGGAAGCAAACAGAACATAAGTAAAGCACAGCAGACCTCAATTTTAGTCCGATATACTTCATCCTGTCTAGCTCAGGTGTAGATAAAATACAGTCAAAAACATCCCACTCACTGCCTTCCAGGTCAAGCATTAAAAGATGCGTAGTTTCAAGAGAGATATTTTGTATGATCTTTGAAAGAGGAACCAAACGCCAAGGCTCACTAACTTCAGAACTAGGTATTTGCATATCTTCATTGCTTTTCAAAGAAATCCCAACATTGAATGAACGATAAACGCTTCCACTCCTGAAACTCACTTCCTTTACGTTGAATGCAAAACAATTTATTATACTGGTTCCTTAAGAGTTACGTACAGTGGGTTTGGCACTGGTGAAACAACAGTGATCTGACATGAAGGAGGGTACTGAATGTCGTCAGAAGTTACGATGCCGTATCTAAAATGAAGAAGGATTAGAACCTTTTAATAGGCACCCGAAAGTTAAATTTTGACTGCTAAATTTAAGTAAGGAAGTGCTTACTTCACGAGAAGGACAGAACAGTTTGTCGAGTTGGATAGGAAGTTTGTGCAGAAAGACGGGGTGTCTTCCCCTCTGACTTTTTTAAAACAGTACCCCTCATTTTTATCCAGTAAGTAAGTTAAAAATCTCTTCCTTTCCTCCAGAGGTGAGCCTTAAATAAGAAAAAATATCAAAAGTTATAACGTTATTCGATAGAAAAACGAAGCAGAAAACGAAAAGGTTAAAAACGAAGAACCGATTCCAAACACAGGGATTTCAACTTCTTCGTTGGCATAGTGAATGAAGCTCAATCTGTATCTGCATTTATCAAGGTGTCGGCCGCAATAACCACTGGAATCAGCGCTAAACAAAGCGTAGTTGTAATTGAAAAATAATCTGTACAAGGCATTATACCACTGCGAAATGACCCGGTTGCCATCAGAAACATCAATATTTACAACCAGTTGCAACTGTTTAGTTTTTAATACCTGAAACGAAAGTGCGAAAAAACAGAATGAATGAACAAACTACTTAAAATGAACAGAAATTTATAGACGCCTTGGTTCAAAACAAAGCCCACACCAGGCTTCGATTTTCAAACTTGTTAAAAAGAAAATACACAATATATACAAAATTCCTACAGTGATCAGCTGAAAGAGTATTTGCGGGACATTGTTGCTAGACGCAGACGTTACTCCTTTGCTGGACGGATAATAAAGATTGATTAGAGCTGAATCGAATGTTTTCCTTTTTACCGCAGATATGACTGAATCAAGTTCCCAGTCATCATTCTCCCTCAAGTCCAAAAGATAACGTAATTCAACATCTAAAAAGTTGGAGATCTGAGTTAATTATTGTTTCTTCCTTTTAGACTTGCAACCAAAGTTTTCTAGACGAAAAACTTAAAACGTTTAACGAGAAACACATAGGTAGGAAAAAAAAACAAAAACGCGCCAACGTCTTCTAGCTCTTCAAGAGGCTCAAATCCTTGCGTAACAAACATGGTCCATCTGGAAGGATTCAAGGATTCAATAAAGGACTTGTCTTCTGTAGTCGAACCGCTGATAACAAACACTTCTCTAAAACTGTTATTCCCATGCAAAGTTTATCATTTCGATAAAGGAAAAAAAGTAGCATCTTAAAGTAAAGCAGAATTTGAAGAGATTCAGCATCTCAGCAGATTAAATTTAAACACTATCCTCATGGCTTCTATCTTTGAATCTCAAAAGCCTACATTACTATCAAACATAGGTCATTGCTTTTTTAATGTACGAGGGGATGTTACCCAATCTTCTTCCCATCAGCGAAATATTTAGAGTCGTTGCAGAATGCGAAAGTCGGTTCTTCGCCGATCCTAATTTTGTGACTGCATGTAACTTGTGGCCGAGCCAGCAGTTCATTTAGTCTCAGAGCTTCTTGAGTAGTATCATTCAGAACTGGTGGTGAGAAAATGTTGACTTCACTCCATCGCAGAAATGAATTGTTCCCAGCTGATCTTAAAAAATTTTTATGTCTTTTAACTCAATTACACTTGCTATTATAAAAATTGTCTTCTTATTAATACTTCTGTCCACTTAAAACTGATGAAGTAGCAATGTATCAGCATTTGCACACACTTTTTATCCTCAATATTAGTTCTGCAAAATGCCTCACAAAATCGAAGAAATAACGACCTAAAGAAGTAAAAGTAAAAACTAGTCCGCAACTTTTCCCACATTTCAAACGGTGCTCAGACCGTAATAGAACCCAAAGTTTACGAAATAGCCTTACCTTAAAAAATGGGATTGTTTTAAGTACCCTCCAGATGAGAGACAGACGAGAAGCAAAAACTTCCTAGCTAGCAATAAAGCCAACAGGACTGCCACAAGTCGAAATATAAGCAACGAATTACAATAGACCATAATACGATAACAGTATCATCAAGTGATACGACCACTAACTGGTCCCTCATCAGCTATAAAAAATGAAAAGTAGAGGAATAAATGAAAAGTTTGCGGCCACATTCCAGTTGAGGGTCAAATGATAGAAAAAAAGAAGCACACTCCAGGATGAAGAAAAAGCGAGTATTTTCTCTGAGCAAGAATTCTGCAAAGGCTTTTTTATTTTGAAGTTCTACCATAGGAGAGAAAGAAAATTGAAGTGAAGCATCACTTTGCCGACATTCTACGCAAATTTTTATAGATCCCACAACATAAATTCTCACTTGGTCTTTGGATCTATAAAACCTAGAAATACTTTTTTGTAAGCCAGTTTTGTCATTCACTAAATTCTTGATTGCACACTCCTAATGGACTGCATCTTCTAAATGTTCTCCATCATGAAAAATCAGTGAACAGGAAAACTTGCAGGATTCTGTGGCAACTATCTTCCATAGCGCTACTGAGGTGATGCGAAATCTAAGACAGTCTGAATCGTGTCCCCGGTTATTTGTAAATGAGAATAAGGAATTTAGTTTTTTTTACTCGCATTCCTCCTGGAATTCATCCGCTGCCGTACTGCAACAGCAGAAGAAATTGATCGAAGACCAATGAAAGTTCAAAACATACTTTAGAAGGACGTTTACATTTCAGTAGATTACGACTCAAGGAAAGCAACGTAATCTGAATACGGCAGACGACAACAGCCCATGTAAAGAACACAACGGTCAGCGATTGATCTCCCAGTATGTATCAATAATTACAGAAAGTGACGTGGTTGACCCCGTTCTTTTTTTAATCTTAATTTTTTTGGCAATCGTTCTGAAATACTGTTCACCGGTTAAACACCAACCAGCACACTGTTTAATTCAGTATCGCTGAACGGACAAATTTCACGTTCAACACCCAGTCACCGGTTGAAATCGGTGCAAAAGTTGCACAATTAGGAATCGAAAGAATGAACTCTGAACAAATGGTATTTTTGTAATGCAAAAATGTAGCAACAACGACTTTGTCTCTTTCCTGAATGCATATTATTTTATCGTAGATGATATCGATGTTTACAAACGTTAATTCGCTGGGTGATCCACTAGTTTCAACCCGTTATTAGTTTTGCCAAACAAAAAAACTTCTTTAAAAATCAAGTGCCAAGATTTTTTTAAATTAAATTCTCATTCCAATTCTTAGGTGGTATTCTAGAACACGATTTCTTTAACTATTTTCTCAGTAGCGTTTACTGAAAACATAAAGTACCCGTCAACACCATGCAAAAAATTTAACTTGGTATACCCTCCCTTTGATTTTTTTCAGATTCAAATGGTTGGCTTTTTGCCTGCTTTGCAAAGCAAAGTCGAAAGAACTTGATTACCAGCAAAACTGCCTGACATCCTCTGAGCAACTCAGCCTTTTTTTAAGTTTCTTACTGACCCAGTTTTACCAGAAAAGTACAAGTAGAAGCTTTGGCAGTTGATCAATCACTGGCAATTTGCCGTGATGAAGAAATCATTTGGTAACGGCCAACTGTAAGTTGCTTCTGATGTGTCGAGTAAAGATGCACTTGAGGAATCTAATGAGAGTAGTAAAGGAGCACCGGATGATGCTTTTTGTGGAAGCAGTTATAACTTGAACGTTTTCGATAGGTTGTTCTCAAATCGGCATTACTTTCCCACTGTCCCAGTTGAAACGCTTTCTGATATGAAGAAAAAAAAAAGAAAGACTTATTTCCGCTTGAGTGATTAGAAAGACTGAAGCAGACAGTAAAAAAGTTAAGTGCTATTGGATAAAGAAACGGATCTAGTTTACCGGAATATTGGCACTATCATTTATTTTCATCTGCTTCTTCTGTTCCGTTAGTAGCAGCCTCAAAAATATTGAATTAAATATTAAGAAATTTATTTTTTATTAAATCCTCATTCCAATACCTAGTTAGTTTCTAGAATTCAATTTCTTTCACTGTTTTCTCAGTAGTGTGGAAGTATTTCACTTTGTGAGGATTCGTCCAGGCCGTACAAAATCAATTGATTCTTTGATGAGAGAAAATTGACTGTAAAGGTCAGAATTTTTCTTGCTACCACTTGTAACAGGAATATTTTACGGAAAAAGAGGTTAATACATTGTTAATTCAAATTTAGGAAATCATTTTTTTTTTTTTGAATTGATGAAACTGTAATGCGTAACAGTCATACCTTCTTTTTTTTCCACGGTTTCCAGTTAGTGAATTATCAGCTGGCCCGTATGAGGATGAAAAATGGGTCGGAGTAGATTGGTAGTGGTACACTGCCTTCACTTTGTTTATTTTCCCGTTGAAAATTCTGTAATCTTGTTGCTTTTTCTTTGAACCAAACTTTTCTGCTAGGCAAAACTGATGCTTCTTACTTTTCCAAAAAAAAAAAAAGAAAACTGAAAGGAGAAAAGACAATAATGTTTTGTAAAGGTGCTTTTTAAGTAGCCACCGATAGCTCCATTTCACTGTCTGCAAAATAATATGCAAAATTTAGCTTATTCATGGAGGGCTCATTGCATTACATAAAAAAAAAAAAAAAAAAAAAAAAAGTAGAAGACTACAGAGCCAAACATTGTCGAAAATAATCGTTGATATCATTGGCAAACGACTGGTCTTTGTCACTGGATCCTCACTCGTGTCACCCATCCATCGTGAACTGGTCACAAGAAACTGTTGAACGCTGTTCGCTTTCGACCGTCCTGATTGTCTCCTCTAGTTCAAAGACTCTGCAGTTTAGAATAGGTTACAGGTCTCATCGGGGTTGATGATACGGAAATGACAACAAAAGAAAAGAAGAAAACAGTAGTTCAAAGGTCTATATTAGCTTTGTATCAAAAACTCTTTTACTTCATCGGTTTTTCAACTCTCGAAGTGCTCATATTTTGTACATGAGACAGAGTATTAAAATGACTTCAAAAATCACATTAGTTCCAAGAAAAAAAAAAGGGAAAAAAAAATCTGTATGTACTGTCTTTCACATTGGTGCAATAAATGGACACAACTGTTTGTTTTTATCACATATTTTTTTTACCGTTTGTGCCTTCAGTATGGATGTTCTGAAAAGTTTCTTTGGTTATAAGTGTTATCTCATATCGTTTTTCATTCCCTTTTTAAACGAACATGCAGTGTAAAGAGTTTTTGTGAAAAGTCTGTTCCAGAACTATTTGTACACCGGCACTTAAGCTGAGTAATTTGGGCAAAACAGATGCGTAAACTCGGATAAACTACGGACTAATTTAATCGTTCTTTGATTCTAGCCTCAAAAAAAGTTTTACGTACCAATTTCAGCGTTGTTTTCTCTGTTGTTTGTTAGTTGTTCTTTGCAACTTTATCGATCTTTGAAGACCAACAGTAATTGGATAGTATATATAACTGAAGATATCAAACATCGCATTAGCGTTGCGGAAGTTCTTGTATACTTTAATAAAACTAAAATCTTACTGATAAATGTCAATCTGTATGCATATTTGCTGTGTATTTGTTGGTGCGTATTGAGTAATGGGAAGAAAAATAACTTTCAAATTTGAAAACACTTATGTTGTTGCTTTTATATTATTTACATCTAAAATGCTGTCTAAAGTACAATACAAAGTTTCCGCTTTTTTTTTCCACTTTTTTTCCACTTTTTTCTTTGTTTTAGTTTTTGATGGCACTGAAATCATATGTGTATTTAACATTTTTATTCTGAAAAAGTTACACCGTTGTTGCTTAGCAGATAAACTTTGCAGCTTTAATTTTTGTTCAAGATGAATTTTTAATCACAATTTTTAATGAATTTTTTATTACAGATATATCTGTTATTTTATATTTGTATTTATAATGAATTTCTTCTTGCTTTTTTTTGACTCTATTGCAACAGAAAAAAAAAAATAGACGATGAAATAAAGATATTGAAAAATTAATCATTCACTTAAATTATAAAGTAACTTTGTATTTCTAATTTTGTTTTCTAGTATCAGTATATAAATTCCTGACAAAAAAAAAAAAAGAAGAAGAAGGATATGCTGTAAATTAATTTACAGCCCAAAAATTAAGTGTGGAAATTGTAATGGACGTACGAAATAAGACCAGTGAATGCGGAAAAAAAAAAATAAAACTGAAATACAGAAGGAAGCATTTTTTTTCCAAATGTTTCGGATTCATTGATTAAACAGAACAGCAGAAAAGAAAGAGCAGTTTCTTTATTGAATTTAGTTCAATTTTAAATAACCTAAGTTTAACTTCAGATAACCAATTTTAAATAAATAAAGGCTAAATACTGTTACAAGTTTAGCAACTTTTTTAAAGATTTATATTTCCAAAGGTCAGATGGTATTTTGGTGAGTTTAAGAAAACCGTAAAATTTTTATGTTTATATTTGCAGATGGTAACTGTTGATTGTACTCAAATTTATTTTTTAGTATAACTGTTGCTAAACTATGTTTTAAGGCTCTATGCAAGTGATAAATGATCAGTGGTTCTGCTGTACAGAAAAATCAACAGATGTTTAACATTAAACCGTTTGTCAAAGATTGTTGAAAGAAAAGTTTCAGCTAATCTTTAGGTTTTCTGGCACTTTTTACGTGAACGTTATCTGTTGGAAAGCCGGTATTTAACAAAAATTTTTTTTAGTGATGAAATTATATTTGCTTTTAAAATAGTGAAATAAAGTCAAATTTAAAAAAAAAAAAA